ATATTTACTCCCAATTCAACCATAGATACATTCCTACTTCTTACTATTTACTCCTATTCCTAGCCTCAGTTCAATCCCTATTTCGGTTCCCTATTTTGACGGAAATTGTGTGTACGGTGTAGTGATGTAATTGGGAATAACTGCGACCAATTCCACCAATCACACTCCACAAGGCCACTCTGTCGGCACGCTAATCACCCAGTTATGAGGGGGGTTATAAACACGGAGTGGGAGAGGGGAGTAGGAGGAGGTAGGCGAGGGGAAGGAGAGAGGGGGTTAGGAGGTGAGAGGAGAGAGGGAAAGAAGAAAGGAGAGATGATTTGCTAGACGAGTGAATATAGTCGTGAAAATCAGTCGAATAATCAATCAGTCATTCAGTCAAACAGTCAATGGGTTTATCAGCCAGTTGGTAAATCAGTTAATTAACCAGTCAGTTATCAGCCAATCCATTTACCAGTTAATCAATTCAGTAACCAGTCAATCAGACAGTTACCAGTCAGTCAATAAACCTGTCAATCAATCAGACATTCCACCAGCTCTCCTATCTCCTAGTTTACACCAGCTTCTCACTATAATCTCCGGTATTGGAAACTGGGAAGGAGGGGCGCATCCCACGGTGGTGTTCTACTGGGGAGGAGGGTGTGGGGTGGTGGGGGGCTGTAAGCTTCCATTGATTGGTGGATAATTCCGTGGGTGTGGAAACCATCGTTGTGATTGGTCGAGAGGAAGAGGAAGGAGGGAGGGATTGGGCACGTGTACAGATTCTTCTTAGGGAGCAAGTGTGTGTGTGTGTGTGTGTGTGTGTGTGTGTGTGTGTGTGTGTGTGTGTGTGTGCGCGTCTTTCCCTCCTAGGTACCGTACCGACTTGACTGATCGGGTTGTATTGTGAGAGGATGATGCGTGTGGGATATTGTGGGTGTGGAGTGCCAGTGTATTGGGGTACTTAAGGTGTTGTGGGTGGAGTATTGGGGTGCTGAGGTAGTGGTGAGTATTGGGTGTACTGAGGTGTTGTGGTGAGTATTGGGTGTACTTAGTTGTGGGTATATTGGGGTGCTGAGGTGATGGATATTTATTGAGGTAATGGAGTATTGGGTGTACTGGAGGTGTTGTGTGAGTATTGGGTGTACTGAGGTGTTGTGGGTGGAGTATTGGGTGTACTTAGGTGTTGTGGTGAGTATTGGTGTGCTGAGGTGTAGTGGATGGAGTATTGGGTGTACTGAGGTGTTGTGGGTGGAGTATTGGGTGTACTGAGGTGTTGTGGGTGGAGTATTGGGTGTACTTAGGGTGTTGTGGGTGGAGTATTGGGTGTACTGAGGTGTAGTGGATGGAGTATTGGGTGTACTGAGGTGTTGTGGTGGAGTATTGGGTGTACTGAGGTGTAGTGGTGGAGTATTGGTGTAGTTAGGTGTTGTGGTGGAGTATTGGGTGCTGAGGTGTAGTGGATGGATATTGGGTGTACTGAGGTGTTGTGGGTGGAGTATTGGGTGCATTGAGGTGTTGTGGGTGGAGTATTGGGTGCACTTAAGTGTTGTGGGTGAGTATTGGGTGCTGAGGTGAAGTGGATGGAGTATTTGTACTGAGGTGTTGGGGTGGAGTATTGGGTGAACTTAGGTGTTGTGTGGAGTATTGGGTACTGAGGTGTAGTGGGTGGAGTATTGGGTACTAGGTATTGTGGGTGGAGATGGTGTGCTGAGGTGTAGTGGTGGAGTATTGGGTGTACTTAGGTGTTGTGGGTGGAGTATTGGGTGTACCTGAGGTGTTGTGGTGGAGTATTGGGTGTACTTAGGTGTTGTGGTGAGTATTGGTGTACTGAGGTGTAGTGTGGAGTATTGGGTGTACTGAGGTTGTGGTGGAGTATTGGGTGTACTGAAGTGTTGGTGGATTATTGGGTGTACTGAGGTGTTGTGGGTGATTATTGGTGTACTGAGGTGTTGTGGGTGGAGTATTGGGTGTACTGAAGTGTTGTGGGTGGAGTATTGGGTGTACTGAAGTGTTGTGGGTGGAGTATTGGGTGTACTGAGGTAGTGGGTGGAGTATTGGGTGTACTGAAGTGTTGTGGGTGGAGTATTGGGTGTACTGAGGTGTTGTGGGTGAGTATTGGGTGTACTGAAGTGTTGTGGGTGGAGTATTGGGTGTACGAAGTGTTGTGGTGGATTATTGTACTGAGGTGTTGTGGGTGGAGTATTGGGTGTACTGAAGTGTTGTGGGTGGAGTATTGGGTGTACTGAGGTGTTGTGGTGGAGTATTGGGTGTACTAAGGTGGTGGTGGAGTATTGGGAGTACTGAGGTGTAGTGGGCAGAGTATTGGGTGTACTGAGGTGTAGTGGGCAGAGTATGTGTACTGAGGTAGTGGGCGGAGTATTGTGTACTGGAGTGTAGTGGGTGGGCCAATCTCGCGGAATTTGAACCCAGTACGCTGACCACTGGACCACTGTGTCTTGCAGTGTTACCATATTCACTGTCTGTGTTGGAGCCCAGATGTCGCCACCGCACGACACACCTGACAGCTGCACGACGACGTACTGCTGGTAGTGGGGAAGGGAGGTGGAGAAGAGGAAGAGGGAGGAGAGGAAGTGGAGGGAAAGAGGAGGGATATATTGGGCAGAACCCTACCCCATCCTCTTTAACCAACAATTTGTATACAAAACTGTACTTTCCTGCCGTACCGTGTGTAGTGGTACATGAAGAAGTCTCTCACACGTCCTTAAAAAAGAAACCAATCTTAAGACATATATAGACTCTGAAACTCATATACACATCGCAGCTTCAAGTCCATTAGTTGATGAACAGGTCTTGTGGCTCGCCTGTGTTGATTGCTTCACGTGTCTCGCCAAACCTCATCACGAGAAACAAAACAATGAGCTTCTGAGAGGTTTATGTGAGAGAAGTTTACAAATGTAATGGATTTGATTTCATTGACTCGTTAATAACTACATGATAGGTACGTTATAATTATTATATGATACAGGTGTAGATGTAAGTGCAAGTACAGGTAGTCTATAATTACAGGTGTAAGTAAATATAAGCCGTAATTAGTGATAAAAGTACAGGTAGGATATAATTACAGGTGCTAATACAGTCATAGGTACAGGTAAGAATACAGGTATGAATACAGTTAGAAATACAAATACATATATAACTATCAGTAAAGACACAGAGTAAAAAATAACTATGCAAGGACACATACAGGTATAAATTACAGGTACAAGAACAAAAACAAACACAGCTGCAGAATTTACTGAATAATAACAAACACAAATGCCATTTAACATTATCATAACACCTGGTCTTAACACAATGTAAACACCAGTCCTCCTCACATACACACACACACACACACACACACACACACACACACACACACCATCTCCTTCTCTTACCTCACATAAACCCTGTTAAGAACCATATGTGTGTGGGAAAGGTTAGGTAGGGTTAGGTTAGGTTAGGTTAGGTATAGTTAAGGTTAGGTTATGACACAATATCTTATTTAGTATAAGGTTATTTTTGATTTAATTTCGTTACGAGAGGGTCGGTGTGTGTGTGTGTGTGTGTGTGTGTGTGTGTGTGTGTGTGTGTGTGTGTGTGTGTGTGTGTGTGTGTGTGTGTGTGTGTGTGTGTGTGTGTGTGTGTGTGTGTGTGTGTGTGTGGTCAGTATGTTTTTATCTTCAGTACTGACCTGTTGCTTTTTTATGTTAAGAGACGGATCGAGGCCACAGAGAGAGAGAGAGAGAGAGAGAGAGGAGAAAGAGGGAGGGGGGAGGGAGGAGGGTGAGGGGAGGAGGAAGTGGGTGGTACAGTGTAAGGTTACAGAACTCACCTCCTGTGACTCCACTGTAACGTGACCACCTGGGGGAAGGAGAGGGAGGAAGGGTGTGTAAAAGGTGGGGAGGAGGAGGGAGAGGAGAAAAGGGATGGAGGAGTGGAGCAATCGTAAGGGAGAGGGAGAGGAGGGGGAGGAAAGGAAGAAGAATAGGGTTTAAAGAGGAGGGGGAAGAAGGAGGGAGAAATTGAGTGTGAGGAGAGGGGTAGTGAATCACTGTTGAGGAGGTGGGTGGGTGGCACATTGTGGGAGGAGGATGACAGGCTAAACCTGTTGCAGGAAGGTGAGGGGGAGGATTGTAGAGGTAGAAAGGGAAAGAAAGAAGCAAAAAGAAGGAATAGCTGGAAGCTATCGAAGGGTAATGATGGTGAGGTCGGAACCCATTGTGAAAAGAAATTGATCTGGAACCTATTGTGGAAAGGGAGGGTGAGGGGGTACGAGGGTCTGATACATATTAAAGAAATGGAAGGGAGCCATGACGGGCATTAAGGCGATTGGCTATGAAACAGGAAGATGGAAAGAAGAGAGGGGAGGAGGAAGAGAGGGAAAGAAGGGAGAGAGAGGAGGGACGGAAGGAGGTAGGGGAGAAGGAACCAATGAGAGTCAAAGAGGAGACAGATTGAAGGGAAATGGAAGAGTGAAGAGCTATGTGGAATAGATAATAGATGGAGGGAGTGAGGTGGAAGTGGGCCTATGGGGATAGGGTGATGGGAGCCTTGGAATCGTAGGTGGGAGGGAGGAGGGAGGAAGGAAGGAAGGAGATAGGAGGAGGAGGAGGAAGGAAGGAAGGGAGATAGGAGGAGGAAGGAGGAGGAAGGAATGCTAAAGTATATAAGGAAGATGGAAATAAAAGACTTGTTGATAATCCCTAGACCTTGAGGTTTTATGGACCCGCCGCCAGATGCTCCACCATCGTCACCTGTTCTGCCTCCTCTTCGTCCATTGGTTCGTCTCCTCCCCGTCCTCACCATCCACCTGTTCTGCCTCCTCCCACCCCCCCCCCACCCACCCCCCTTCGTCCATTGGTGCCCCCCTCTCGTCCCTCCATCGCACCTGTTCTGCCTCCTCTGTCGTCCATTGTCTGTCTCCTTGTTCCCTCTCGTCCTCACTATCGTCACCTGTTCTGCCTCCTCTGTCGTCCATTGGTTCGTCTCCTTGTTCCCTCTCGTCCTCACCATCGTCACCTGTTCTGCCTCCTCTGTCGTCCATTGTCGTCTCCTTGTTCCCTCTCGTCCTCACCATCGTCACCTGTTCTGCCTCCTCTGTCGTCCATTGGTTCGTCTCCTTGTTCCCTCTCCTCCCCACTATCGTCACCTGTTCTGCCTCCTCTGTCGTCCATTGGTTCGTCTCCTTGTTTCCCTCTCGTCTCACCATCGTCACCTGTTCTGCCTCCTCTGTCGTCCATTGGTTCGTCTCCTTGTTCCTCTCGTCCTCCCATCGTCACCTGTTCTGCCTCCCTCTGTCGTCCATGGTCTGTTTCCTTGTTCCCTCTCGTCCTCACCATCGTCACCTGTTCTGCCTCCTCTGTCGTCCATTGGTTCGTCTCCTTGTTCCCTCTCGTCCTCACCATCGTCACCTGTTCTGCCTCCTCTGTCGTCCATTGGTTCGTCTCCTTGTTCCCTCTCGTCCTCCTATCGTCACCTGTTCTGCCTCCTCTGTCGTCCATTGGTTCGTTCTGTTCCTCGTCCTCACCATCGTCACCTGTTCTGCCTCTGTCGTCCTGGTCTCCTTGTTCCCTCTCGTCCTCACCATCGTCACCTGTTCTGCCTCCTCTGTCGTCCATTGGTCCGTCTCCTTGTTCCCTCTCGTCCTCACCATCTCACCTGTTCTGCCTCTGTCGTCCATTGGTCTCTCCTTGTTCCTCTCGTCCCCACCATCGTCACCTGTTCTGCCTCCTCTGTCGTCCATTGGTTCGTCTCCTTGTTCCCTCTCGTCCCTACCATCGTCACCTGTTCTGCCTCCTCTGTCGTCCATTGGTTCGTCTCCTTGTTCCCTCTCGTCCCTACATCGTCACCTGTTCTGCCCTCCTGTCGTCCATTGGTTCCGTCTCCTTGTTCCCTCTCGTCCCCCCATCGTCACCTGTTCTGCCTCCTCTGTCGTCCATTGGTTCGTCTCCTTGTTCCCTCTCGTCCTCACCATCGTCACCGTTCTGCCTCCCTGTCGTCCATTGGTTCGTCTCCTTGTTCCCTCGTCCCCACCATCGTCACCTGTTCTGCCTCCTTCGTCCATTGTCTCTCCTGTTCCCTGCCTCACCATCTCCTGTTCTGCTTCCTCTGTCGTCCATTGGTTCGTCTCCTTGTTCCCCTCGTCCTCACTATCGTCACCTGTTCTGCCTCCTCTGTCGTCCATTGGTCTGTCTCCTTGTTCCTCTCGTCCTCACCATCGTCACCTGTTCTGCCTCCTCTGTCGTCCATTGGTTCGTCTCCTTGTTCCCTCTCGTCCCATCGTCACCTGTTCTGCCTCCTCTGTCGTCCATTGGTTCGTCTCCTTGTTCCCTCTCGTCCTCACCATCGTCACCTGTTCTGCCTCCTCTGTCGTCCATTGGTTCGTCTCCTTGTTCCCTCTCGTCCCCACCATCGTCACCTGTTCTGCCTCCTCTGTCGTCCATTGGTTCGTCTCCTTGTTCCTCTCGTCCTCACCATCGTCACCTGTTCTGCCCTCTGTCGTCCATTGGTTCGTCTCCTTGTTCCCTCTCGTCCTTACCATGGTCACCTGTTCTGCCTCCTCTGTCGTCCATTGGTTCGTCTCCTTGTTCCCTCTCGTCCTCACCATCGTCACCTGTTCTGCCTCCTCTGTCGTCCATTGGTTCGTCTCCTTGTTCCCTCTCGTCCTCACCTTCAGCCACTAGGAGGGTGGAAAAGGACGGTAATTTATCTTGATTCTATTTTACCAGTTCAGGTACAGACACAAGCACAGGTGACAGGTACAAGCACAGGTGACAGGTACAAGCACAGAGTGACAGGTACAAGCACAGGTGACCGGTACAAGCCCATTGACAGATCAAGCACAGGTGACAGGAATTCAAGCCAGGAGTGATAGGTACAGCCCATTGACAGGTACAAGCACAGGTGACGGAAACAGTGACAGGTACAAGCACAGGTGACAGGTACAAGCACAGGTACAGGTGGACAAGCAGTGTACATCAGTAGGTCATGTCATCTCATACACACAACACATATTTACTACTTTCAGTCATATGTGAGGTGAGGGAGTGTGTGAGGTGAGGGAGTGTGTGAGGTGAGGGAGTGTGTGAGGTGAGGTGGGGGGTGAGGGTGTGTCTGAGGTGAGGGTGTGTCTGAGGTGAGAGTGTGTGAGGTGAGGGTGTGTGTGTGGTGAGGGTGTGTGTGGGGTGAGGGGGAGTGTGTGAGGGGAGGAGTGTGTGTGAGGGGTGAGGGAGTGTGGGGTGAGGGAGTATGTGGGGTGGGGAAATGTGTGAGGTGAGGGTGTGTGTGAGGTGAGGGAGTGAATAAATTTCTAGAAAATTGAAGCTTATTACCAGGTTGTGTAGTAGTGAGTGGCGCGTCTCTGTTAAAACAAGGTTGTGTAGTAGTGTTGTGCTTCAATAGATCTATGACCTTGGGAGTAGTGGTGGTGGTGGTAGTGGTGGTGATAGATGGTAGATGGTGGTAGGTGGTGGTAGATGGTGAGTAGTGATGGTGGTAGATGGTGGTAGGTGGTGGTGGTGGTAGTGGTAGGTGGTAGTGGTGGTGGTGGTGGTGGTGTAATAGGTAGTGTGGTAGGTGGAGGTGGTAGGTAGGTGGTGGTGGTAGGTGGTAGATGGTGGTGGTCAGTAGCTAATGGGTACGGTATGATAGTCAGTACTTAATAGTCGTTTCTTATGGGTAATTTGTAATAGGTAGATAATGCAGGACATAATGGTCATACCTAATTGGCCAAAGAACATACCGGTCGAATCTAATAGTAAGTATTTAATGGGTTGTATGATGGTTCTCTTCAGCCTTATAGAACGTAATAGAACTAGCACATCAATAGTCGTTACTAAAGGAGTGGGTGGTTAGTTGCTAATGGTTAAGTCTGATTGGTTGACTATCGCTTGATAGAATATAATGGTCGATTCTAATGGTTATTGTTCAAAGGCAGCAGTAACGTCTCTCTAACCCATTAAAAGTTTATTAGCCATTACACCTCTTTAATTAATGGCAGGCTCTGATTGGTCGGTTGATCAAGGGGCAGTGACTAATGGTTGCGTTGTAATAGGCGTGTATGGGGGAGTTTTCAAAGCCATTAGTGGGTAATGGACCCTCTCTAATCGGCAGTGCCAAGGGGCGTGTCTAATATAAAGGGCGGGACCTATAGCTACTAGAATGGCCATTGGTCACTTAATTTCGGTAAAAAAACAACCTGGCAACTGTTCAAATTTTTCCGTGTAGAGAAGAGGGGGGGAAAAGAGAGAGAGAGGGGAGAAAGAGAAAGAGACGGGAGGAAAGAGAAAGACAGAGGAGAGAGAGAAAGGAAAGAGGAAGAGAGGAAAAGAGGGGAAACAGAGGAGGTAGGAGAAAGAGAATGAGAAACAAAATAAGAGATAAGAAAGAGTGAAACAATGAATAAAAAGAAGAAAAGATACATGAATGTGAATAAGGAATGAGAAAGAATGAAATAAATGAATAAATAGAGGTGAATTAAAAAGAAAGAGATATAAGGGAGAAAGGAGATAAATGGGAGAAATATGAGATATATATTAAAGGGAAAGAGAAGAGAGAGTTGGCAAGTTACCAGGAAGGAGAGACAGCGAAGACCGGAAACAGATTATTGTTATGTTGAGAAAAATTCAATTATCTAGCTGTGACATTTACCTCTCAACTTTACATCTGAATAATAGATAAATATTCTCAATACTTATCCTCAAGATGCATAAGATAGGAAATATTTATCTTTACTCTTATGGATGAAAAGTGTGTTTGAGAGTCTATTGGATTCCGTAGTTTATATTCAGTGCTGGAAATGATGAGACTCGTTCATATTCTCTAAGATACCGTATAGACTTGTTGACACTCGGCGCCTCTGCTTACTTAAAGGCTCGAAGGAGGTTTGTTTGGATGTTTTCAGGATAAGGAAATGGCCTCTTGTTTTCTCGACTGTTAGTTGAATGTTAAGGATTCTCGTATGGGTTAAGTTTGAGATAATTGTGATTTGATTTCAACTCTGAAACTGAACTGACTGTAGACTGTCTGAGTGAATCATATTAGGTGTTTATTGACGTCTTTTCTGACTGTTAACTGTTAAATAGTGAGTCATTATAAACGCGTCACATAGCCATAATGATCTTTCATGACTTCAGTGATTCAGGTTTATCGTACAGTAAGATGAAATCCTCCAGGTTGATGTAACTTTTCCTGGAGACCTCGAGTCGACAACCCAACCCAACCAGGTAGAGTTAAGGTATTTACTGACCACGTGAGATAAGCGAGTGTCTAATCTTCAAGTGGTCCCTTCGTGTTGATATAAGACTTTGGAGCCAGGCTTTGAGCATAAAAAAGATCTTTGTGGGTGAGTCAGTTAAAAGTTAGCGATGAAGTGTTAATCAAAGGAAGTCTCCGCCACAGGGATGTATTTAACTTGTAGATATAATAATGAAGTTAATAATCTATTGTTATGATCTGTAAGTTAAATTGGGGTCATTGTTCCTCACTGAAGAAATAGCTTCGTATGTTAGAGTAAGGTAGTTTAGATTAAGTTGGTTAGGTTAAGCTGGATTAGATTACAGGTTAGGTTAGGTTAGACTAGTTTAGGTTGGGTTAGGATGAGTTTGTTAGATTATGTAAGGTTGGAATAGGTTAGGTTAGACTAGACTACGTTAGGTTAGGTTAGATTAGGTTGGATTAAATCAGATTAGGATAAAGTTAGTATTTCTGACTATAATTCAGAATCTGGGAAGTGAGGCGACCAGTGTGGGTGTGGAGGCGTCGAGACCTTACAAATCAGGTTTAAAATGAGAATCAATATTTACCTTCGTCTCTACCTCTAAAGTTAACGGTGGTAGTCTGTGAGATCCTGTAGGGGGTGAGGAGGGGGTGAGAGGGGGAAGGTGAAGGGAAGGAGGCAGGTGAGAGAGTGAATTCAGGTAATTTAGGTTTAGGAGAGAAAGGGTCATGAGTAGGTAGTGAGAGGTACAGCAGGTGAGGTAGGGTGGGTGAGGGAACAGTAGTTGAGGTAGGGTGGGTGGGGGTACAGTAGGTGAGGTAAGGTGGGTGGGGAAGCAGTAGGTGAGGTAAAGGGGTCGAAGGGTGCAGCAGGTGAGGTAGAAGTGGGGGATACAGCAGGTGAAGTAATGGGGTGAGACTGTTTCAGAGTGTGAGCAGTAATCCTGTATCACCAAATGGAAAAATGTGTTGGTCTACGGGCGGCCGATAGTGACTGTGGAGGAGAAGAATAGTGAAGGAGGGATATGAGAAGGTGGAAGGAGAAGAACAGGAAGGAGAGGGCAGGACGAACGGAGGACGAATAGTTAAGACAGATTGACAGAGGAACAGGACATATCCCCTATCCACCTCCTCCAGGCCTAAAAGGTCTCCTGGTGGCGTAAGATCGTGTGAATACGAAAAAAAAGTGGCAGGGAGGTTAGGGTGTCTCAGAGGGTGATTTGTGCAGAGGTTCGACCCCGCACCCTCGACCCTCACCCCCTCACCAAGCCCCACTCATACACCTTTCCCCCCCCAACACTTCCTTCTACCACTCCTCCCTCCCTCTCCCCCCCCCCCCCCCCCCCCCCCCCCCCCCCCCCCCCCCCCCCCCCCCCCCCCCCCTCTCGCAGTTTAGCAGAGT